CTCTTTCTAGGCGTTTAACGATGCATAAGCAACAGGGCTCCATTAAGGAACATATAATCTCTTCCCACAACCAAACCATCGCCAGAGAAATCCTAGTAAACAACACAGAAATCATCGATAGATACAGCGATAGCAGGCGGCTTGACGTTTGCGAGGCACTACACATCAAGAAGTCAACACCAGCAATCAACAGCCAATTATTGCACAACTATATTCTACCCACCTCAAGACTCCGCTCCAATATAGAAGCATCAAGAAATATGGACCAATAGGCTTTCTACAAACACTTCTATTCAATATCCATTGCTTCGTGTTCTGTCTTGTGTTGATGAAATTAATACCCTATTAATACTCTTGTTCTGTCTTGTGTTGATGAAATTAATACCCTATTAATACCACATTTTGTTCTGTCTTGTGTTAATGCCACATCACCCCTTCCACCTCACTCAAATGTAGATATAAAATCGGAGATACGTAAGTTCTATTCAGTTGTGTATTTGTGAACTAAAGTCTTTGAAAATGTAATAAGTTTTACGAAACGCGCCCGTGTCGCGTCAGACTAGAAATAAAAATGAATTTTGGAGAATTGATTTTTGATTTACCTCCAACAGTGAAGCGTAATGTACGAAAGATTGAGAAAATTCGTGTTAGAATTATTAATCTTACTTTTTCGGTCATATTTAATAATATATGTCTACAGGAAAGACTGCTACCAAAATATACTAATATATATATATATATATATATCACGGGCTATAGTGAGCCCGTAATTGAGTTTGGTTATACGTGATAACCTTGTTACTCTGATATTTGGGTCAAAGTTATAAATGGAGGCGGAGTGTCCTCCTATTTCCCTTGGTTTTTTCGCATCTGTTTTAGCGCACTGGTCTTAGTCTTGTTTTAATAACATTATCTTGGTGGCGGATGTAGAATGTTCACTAGTGTGTCCCATCCTGTAACTACTTTTCTATCATTATAGTCGCTGTGGAATGTCCATCTAATGCAGCTGCTGTCGTTGGATTAATGTTGAGTTTGATGCGCAGGGCTCAAGTTGCCACACATTCCAATAAGTAGTGCAATAATGGCGCCTCTACTTTTGTTCCACGGATATAACACTCTTTACCTATTGGGTTTATTACCTCCCAGCAGCACCTGAAACCAAGTCTGAGTCTGTGTATAGCTACTGCAATGTCTCTGGATATCTTTTTGTCAGGCTTGAAAGAGTAGTACCTAGTGGCATGTTCGTACCATATCGCAGTGGATCTTCCGCTACTTTGGCTCTGTGGCGACTTAAGATAGTTGGGAGTATTTTCTTCTTGATTTGCTCCTTAATCTATGATAAACTTGGATGTATTTTGAACTGTACTACAGGTAGAGTAGTTGCTGTTTTTGCTTGTGAGTCTGCCTTTTCAATTACAAAGTGTCTTTCTGCATGATATGTACCCAAGCATGAGGCGAAGGTGATGAAGTGAAGGTGATGAGATGAAGGTGATGAGATGAAGGTGAAGCACCTCACTTATCGGTCCACTGTATCTTGTCACTCTTATGTTTCCATGATGGTTATCTTGAGGTTATCTTGAGATGATTTCGGGGCTTTTAGTGTCCCCGCGGCCCGGTCCTCGACCAGGCCTCCACCCCCAGGAAACAGCCCGTGACAGCTGACTAACTCCCAGGTACCTATTTACTGCTAGGTAACAGGGGCATCAGGGTGAAAGAAACTTTGCCCATTTGTTTCTGCCTCGTGCGGGAATCGAACCCGCGCCACAGAATTACGAGTCCTGCGCGCTATCCACCAGGCTACGAGGCCCCTGGTTGGTTCAGTATGCTGTGTTTTCGGTCGTGTTCTGGAAGTTGGCAGTGTAAGGCGGTGGTTGTCGGCTACTGATGCCTGGCCTGGTGGGCTTGTTGTCTCGCCCGTGTCCTGTCTTGTGTTGGTGCTGAATCTGTAGACTTCTTTAGTGTTGCTTGTGAGTATATCTCTGGTGATGGTCTGGGTATGTATAAAGACTAAATATTCTTTAATAATTAATTAATAGGTCCTTACTGATTATCCTCATAAAGGATGAATATATGAAGAAAATGAACCTCATCCTCTCTGATCAAACTAAGTCTTAAAGGATCATTAGGGACACAGCTGCTTTGCTGAAAGCAAAGAAAGGTTGATTGACTCTATTCACGCCAAAATATCTGGGGCCAGATTCACGAAAGCACTTACGAACGTGTACATCTTTTCTCAATCTTTGGTGGCTTTGTTTACATTTATTAAACAGTTTACAAGCATAAAAACTTGCCAATCAACTGTTGTTATTGTTATAAACAGCCTCCTGGTGCTTCGGAGCTCATTAACTGTTTAATAATTGTAAACAAAGCCGCCAAAGATTAAGAAAAGATGTACAGGTTCGTAAGTGCTTGCGTAAGTGCTTTCGAGAATCTGGCCCCTGGACTTCGCTTGCCATAAGCTACTGGAGAGTACAAAGCTGGATATGCATATGGGACTGTCAAGACCCGACACACCTGGAAACCCACTTCGACCCATCATCAGCCAGATGTCTGTGCCCATGTACGGTCTACCTAAGTAACTGAACTCTTTACTAGTTAAGTCCTCGTGGTGTTGTGGTAAAGCACTCACCCGGCGCTTCGCAAGCACTATGGCCTGGGTTCGTATCCTGGCCGGGGAGGATTGACCAGGTGCCAGTCCTTAACTGTAGCTTCTGTTTACCCTGCTGTGAATGTGTTCCTTGGTTGTTAAACGATTTAGCAGGTCGTATTCCAGGGAGGAAAAAAAGGATTAAGGACCTGCCCGTAATACTATGCGTATTAGTGGCTGTACAAGAATGTAAGAACTTTTGAATATATAAATAAATAATATATAAAAAATAAGAAAATAACTCCATATAAGCCTTCAGCCTCAGGTTTCCAAAGGAATTTGTCGACTTATTGAGAGAGTCTCAGGCATGAGGAGTGAGAACCTCTCTCGAGTGGCTGTTCACCACTGTACCCGTGGATGAGTCGCTGTTCACCACTGTACCCGTGGATGAGTCGCTGTTCACCACTGTACCCGTGGATGAGTCGCTGTTCACCACTGTGCCCGTGGATGAGTAGCTGTTCACCACTGTACCAGTGGATGAGTCGCTGTTCACCACTGTACCCGTGGATGAGTCGCTGTTCACCACTGTACCCGTGGATGAGTAGCTGTTCACCACAGTACCCGTGGATGAGTGGCTGTTCACCACTGTACCCGTGGATGAGTCGCTGTTCACCACTGTACCCGTGGATGAGTGGCTGTTCACCACTGTATCCGTGGATGAGTCGCTGTTCACCACTGTACCCGTGGATGAGTGGCTGTTCACCACTGTACCCGTGGATGAGTACCTGTTCACCACTGTACCCGTGGATGAGTCGCTGTTCACCACTGTACCCGTGGATGAGTAGCTGTTCACCACTGTGCCCGTGGATGAGTGGCTGTTCACCACTGTACCCGTGGAGGAGTCGATGTTCACCACTGTACCCGTGGATGAGTAGCTGTTCACCACTGTGCCCGTGGATGAGTCGCTGTTCACCACTGTGCCCGTAGATGAGTAGCTGTTCACCACTGTGCCCGTGGATGAGTAGCTGTTCACCACTGTACCCGTGGATGAGTAGCTGTTCACCACTGTACCCGTGGATGAGTCGCTGTTCACCACTGTACCCGTGGATGAGTAGCTGTTCACCACTGAACCCGTGGATGAGTAGCTGTTCACCACTGTACCCGTGGATGAGTAGCTGTTCACCACTGTACCCGTGGATGAGTAGCTGTTCACCACTGAACCCGTGGATGAGTGGATGAGTAGCTGTTCACCACTGTACCCGTGGATGAGTAGCTGTTCACCACTGTACCCGTGGATGAGTCGATATTCACCACTGTACCCGTGGATGAGTCGCTGTTCACCACTGTACCCGTGGATGAGTAGCTGTTCACCACTGAACCCGTGGATGAGTAGCTGTTCACCACTGTACCCGTGGATGAGTAGCTGTTCACCACTGTACCCGTGGATGAGTAGCTGTTCACCACTGTACCCGTGGATGAGTCGCTGTTCACCACTGTACCCGTGGATGAGTCGCTGTTCACCACTGTACCCGTGGATGAGTAGCTGTTCACGACTGTGCCCGTGGATGAGACCATTGGAATGATGATGGACGGATATCGGGATGCAGTTTGTATTCCTCTCGACATCCCAGAAACACACACAGGAAGCTACTCTAAGCATGTAACAAAGAGTCCTTAAACACAGCTCCAGTTGGAAGCAAGTTGACGAGGAACTCGGTAGAGTAATGCAGGTCCTGGTCAATAATAGGTTATCTTGAGGTTATCTTGAGATGATTTCGGGGCTTTAGTGTCCCCGCGGCCCGGTCCTCGACCAGGCCTCCACCCCCAGGAAGCAGCCTGTGACAGCTGACTAACTCCCAGGTACCTATTTACTGCTAGGTAACAGGGGCATTCAGGGTGAAAGAAACTTTTCCCATTTGTTTCTGCCTCGTGCGGGAATCGAACCCGCGCCACAGAATTACGAGTCCTGCGCGCTATCCAACAGGCTACGAGGCCTCCCTGATACTCTAAGATGGATACTCTAATGGATATGTCGAGGAAATCATCATCTTTTCCAAGGACGGTGAGCCGCCTTGGGACTTCACATTCAACAGACAACAGTACACCATCGGTCCTTACTATTAAAATATTCTACAGGAACGTCTTCACCACCGCCCATCAAAGGGAAGAGAGGGCCTCCTGGATAACATTATTTATAGAAATGTGACCCTTACTGACACCAACCTGAATATTGAACTAATAATATATTATATGAGCAAGAAGACTGCCAACTTACTCATGAAGAACTCTTCTGACACCATTTATTTGATACATCGCGTAACAAGAAATATATACACATTTTGAGACAATTAATTTACATCTGCTTTTGTACTGGAAAGTAGAATTAAGTGAAAGTCAAAATCAAAACACTTACTTCAGTCTTATCAGAGAGAGGGATGGCCCTGAAGGAGAAGTTCAGGAGCCCAGCAATGGTCTCCAGGATGATGTAGTCGCGTCCCGTGGTGCGGGAGACCTTGCTGCCGTCCGCTGCCCTCTCCTCCACCACCATCCAGATGGGTTTAAAGAAGTTCACAGTCACGTTAAGGATTGTTCCGTAGAAACTGGAGAGATTGATTGGCCCTGAGTAAGTGTAGTTGATTACCAGATGACTGATTGGTTAATATTATTAAATTACCTGATTTTAAACCTTAATAAGAATATTGAAAACAGCTAACTAAAATAGCGTTTTGGCTCATGACATGCAACTTTTTTCATATTTATACAGAAATAAATTCCCGCATATACTACATGTACATATTATGCGTTAAGCAATCCTACATATATTATGTTACCCGGTAATTTATTATATATATCTAGAATCCATTTCCAAACATTTTTAATGATTTTTCTAATCTAAACTTATTAAATTTATAGTAGTTCGTCCTCATTTGGTAATCACTTGAATCTCAGCTCAGAGGTGTGGCTGCTAGCAGCTAGAGCGAGCACCACGGCCACACCACGGGCAATGACTTCACTGACCGGCTTAACCAGGAGAGGGAAGCCGATGGGTCTTAAACACTCTGTGAGCTCTGGGCATGTCCGTCACCATTCGTGAAGATTAAAAACGACAGACTGCGCAGAGTCAGTTGACCAACGAACAGAAAGACGATTTCCTACAAAACTTTGCCGAGTGCGAAGAGCACTGCAAAATACATAGAACGGGTATCCTTGTCATCCACTGCACCAGTTCAGCTGTCTTAACTTATGTCTTGCCTCTGGACCAAACGGAACCTGCATGAGAGAGTGAGGCTGATATTCCATGACTCAATTTAATTAAATTCACGTGTAAATCATCTATGTCATCATTCACTCATCCTTTCACCACAAGTCCTCCAGCGATTGGCTAGCTGCAAAAACGCAGGAGTGGAAAAACTGACGGCCACAGTGACAAATCTACACCTAGGCAGCTCAGGCCATATGGTCGTCTTCTATTGACAAGAAGCAGCAATTGTTTCTGGCAGCCTCCTGTGACCCAGTAGATCTTTTTTAGGATAGCGCTGCTTACCTCCGTAGTCAGAGGAAAGGGCTAGAAAGGTGCCTTAAAAAAATCCTGCTTTACATATCCTGACCATCTTACCGCAGCTGTATGGAATCCTACATTTTTGTCGAAATACAAAGAATAAAAGGAATGTTCCCCCTCATTTTTGGAGTGTGTACACTCACGGATCGTGCAGAATCTGACAGACAGAGACAACTGCCCTAATTGCCTACGAGCTTGCTTACTATAAGGTCGAAGTAGCACTGGGAAGTGAGATCTGTCTGGCAGATGTCGGACAGCTGACTGAAGCGGGAGTTATTTACAACTTTTTCTTGAGTGGGCGAACACAGACGAGCGCCACTAGTCAGGACATGGATTTGCTGTTCAGACCTGTCTGGCGAATGCACATTTCATTCTACCAAAGGGCATCAACGGCCTACAGATTGTGCTGAAGCTTCCTATTTCTGGTTAAAAGCCAGTGGCAGTAATTCGTGTTGACGCACCAACCATGACGAATTTGGAACATTCCTGAGAAACATTCTACCCACACCTGGAAGCACTGATTGCCACACTAGCGAAGGCAGACAACCCGATCATCCTTGGCGATTTCAACGCCAAAGTTGGCACTGAGCGTGTGGCGTGGGAGGGAGTCATCGGCAGCTATAACACCAATAAACATAAGCTTCTGAGGACATGTGTAGTAAAAATCTGATCCCTAACATCCTGCTCCGTCTGCCCAAACATAAGAGAACAACCTGGAGGCATCCACCATCAAAACACTGATTCCTAATTGACAATATAAGAGTACGTAGGAAGAGCAGGCAGGATGTCCGAGTGACGAAGACCACATGTGGTGTGGATCGCTGGGCACACCACACACTGCTCGTCTCTAGCCTTACTCTCAGGATCCAGTCCCCAGACGTCCACAGGGCGTCGAGGGACCAGAGCCTCTAAATGTCCTCAGATTAAGAGAGCACTATTTAACCGTCACATGCGAACGCCCTGGCTTTTAGGCTGGAAATCAGAGACTACTGTGTGTGGGAGGAGACAGTGGTATGTCTCCTTTTGCCTGTCTGTCTGTCTGTCTGTCTGTCTGTCTGTCTGTCTGTCTGTCTGTCTGTCTGTCTGTCTGTCTGTCTGTCTGTCTGTCTGTCTGTCTGTCTGTCTGTCTCTCTCTGTCTGTCTCTCTCTGTCTGTCTCTCTCTGTCTGTCTCTCTCTGTCTGTCTCTCTCTGTCTGTCTCTCTCTGTCTGTCTCTCTCTGTCTGTCTCTCTCTGTCTGTCTCTCTCTGTCTGTCTCTCTCTGTCTGTCTCTGTCTGTCTGTCTCTGTCTGTCTGTCTCTCTGTCTCTCTCTCTCTGTCTCTCTCTCTCTCTCTCTCTCTCTCTCTCTCTCTCTCTCTCTCTCTCTCTCTCTCTCTCTCTCTCTCTCTCTCTCTCTCTCTCTCTCTCTCTCTCTCTCTCTCTCTCTCTCTCTCTCTCTCTCTCTCTCTTTTAAAGAAAGTGTCAACAAATGCAGTTGAAATATTATATATATATTAACTACTTTGAGAGACTTTGATGCACTATAAGTAATGAACTATTATTTGTAGTTGAGGAACAAGGAGTATCTAGTGTTAGGAGGCAAGAGTTTGGTTACCATGATCAGATATTATATATGAAGATGTGGTGATAACGTAATTAATGACATGACTGGTGTGAGCCATGACCCCCCGCCCCCACGCTCTAGTACCCAAGACACCTAGACACCTGCTGTCTGGGGCAGCTACACTCACCGGTCGACCAGCTTAACTGCTTGTTTAAGACTACTGGCTATAGTAACCTGCACATCAGCACCATCTACACTAGGCCTGGTCGCATATATAAGCAGCTTACCATTGGCCTGACCTCAGAATGCACTTCTGTAGATGTATACAGCTATTGAATATTGTATTGTTTTGCACCTCTATTTTGCCCTTAATGTAACTGTCACATGTTTATGTTTCTTTTACATTTTATATTGTGTATTGCCAAGTAGAATATGGGATTTGTTTTATTTGCTATTAATGTCATTTTTCTTATATTAAATGTTTAAAGTTCTTCATTCTTTTGAAATTTACCTGCAGCTCTCACGCTGTAAAGAGATCAGAAGCAGTCTTATTTAGTTTATTTTACTTTTTTTATTTAATGTGATTGGCATAACACTCGTCAGAATAGCCACTGCTCTATTCTTTCAACTTAACGTCACACTGTGTCTCTGACTATTGCTGTATCTCTCTCTCTCTCTCTGTGACTATTGCTGTATCTCTCTGTGTCTCTGACTATTGTTGTATATCTCTCTCTCTCTCTGTGACTATTGCTGTATCTCTCTGTGTCTCTGACTATTGCTGTATCTCTCTCTCTCTCTCTGTGACTATTGCTGTATCTCTCTGTGTCTCTGACTATTGATGTATATCTCTCTCTCTCTCTGTGACTATTGCTGTATCTCTCTGTGTCTCTGACTATTGCTGTATCTCTCTCTCTCTCTCTGTGACTATTGCTGTATCTCTCTGTGTCTCTGACTATTGATGTATATCTCTCTCTGTGTCTTTGACTATTGCTGTATATCTCTCTCTGTATCTCTGACTATTGCTGTATATCTCTCTGTGTCTTTGACTATTGCTGTATATCTCTCTGTGTCTCTGACTATTGCTGTATATCTCTCTGTGTCTTTGACTATTGCTGTATATCTCTCTGTGTCTCTGACTATTGCTGTATATCTCTCTCGGTGTCTCTGACTATTGATGTATATCTCTCTCTGTGTCTTTGAATATTGCTGTATATCTCTCTCTGTATCTCTGACTATTGCTGTATATCTCTCTCTGTATCTCTGACTATTGGTGTATATCTCTCTGTATCTCTGACTATTGCTGTATATCTCTCTGTGTCTTTGACTATTGCTGTATATCTCTCTGTGTCTCTGACTATTGCTGTATATCTCTCTGTGTCTTTGACTATTGCTGTATATCTCTCTTTGTCTTTGAATATTGTTGTATATCTCTCTCTGTATCTCTGACTATTGGTGTATATCTCTCTGTATCTCTGACTATTGGTGTATATCTCTCGGTGTCTCTGACTATTGATGTATATCTCTCTGTGTCTCTGACTATTGATGTATATCTTCCTCTGTCTGCATTTCGGTCTCTTCTTGACTGACTGCTTTCTGCATGACTTTTTATGTATCGCTGAATGTATGTTTCTGTCCCTTTGTATCTCTTGTCTGCACGATCGTATATCGCTGAATGTCTTTTCTCTGCCTCTTTGATTCTCTGTCTATCGGGGAATGCATGTTACCGTCTGTATATCCGTCTCTTTTGGTCACTGTTTTTATTTCTCTCTTGTTTACTGTCTGTCTTTGTCTTTGCGCCTGTCTGCGTGACTGTTCATCGTTAGTGTGGATGCAGGATTGTTGAGGTGTGGAAAGGTTACCTTGAAATATAAATGATAACTTGATCATAGGGAATGTTGGTTGTAAATGTAAATGAGTTTTGGAGGATGTAGAGAGGAGGAATACGTCAACAGAGCTCCCTTAGATCTCATCTTGCTCACCGGTGAGATGCTTTAGTGAAGGATCTCGTAATTAAAGAGTCAAATGGGCATATATATATGAATGAGTTCCAGTGGATATAAATAGGAGCTGATACGATAATACGCATCTAAATTTCCTTAATGCTAATGCTCTTACAGGTGAGATGGATAACTTGGTTACAAGTTTGATGTGAAAGAGGAAGATTATATATCATGTTAAATTCAGGTAGGTTAGGTTCAATTGCCCCGTCTACAGCTGAAGGAGTTCCCTACCAAGGTCACTGAAAACAGGTTAAGCTGAAACCAGTCCGTATCTAGGTCGCTAAAGGCGGTCAGGGGCTCAGACCGGCCCTTGCCAAAAATTGAATGGGACGTTACGATATATTTTATACCAGAAGCCGTTCACTGAAAACCAATAGGAAGCGAAAAGCATTTTATGATTGGAATTGTTGGTTTCTTAGGAAGGAGAGCAGTGCGTCGGCGACCGTCCACAGCCAGACACACAAGGGACTCTTGTTGTTGTTTAAGATTCAGCTACTGGGGACAAAACGTTCCAAGTAGCACGGGCTATGGTGAGCCCGTAGTGGACTTACCTGGCACAGGAGCGGGGCTGTAGCTTAGAATACAAGGGACTGTCGTAGGCAACCTTCATAAGACTTATAACTACACCTGCCCCAACGTCTACACCTGTCCGTTCACCAACACCTGTCCCTACGTCTGCACGTGTTCACATAACTACACTGGTACCGAAGTGGGACACAATTATACTTACTTTTCGAATTTCTGAGGAAACAGGTGGTGTTGGGTCAGGACGACCAGTCCCCTAGCAGGTGTCCAGGTGGCTACGTGGACCACCTGCGGCCCCTGCTGGCTGTATGGCAGGTGTGTGTAGGTGTCCCACCTGCCGGAGGAAGAGGAAGTGTCAGAGCCCCCTGCTGGATGTATGGCAGGTGTGTGTAGGTGTCCCACCTGCCGGAGGAAGAGGAAGTGTCAGAGCCCCCTGCTGGCTGTATGGCAGGTGTGTGTAGGTGGCCCACCTGCCGGAGGAAGAGGAAGTGTCAGAGCCCCCTGCTGGCTGTATGGCAGGTGTGTGTAGGTAGCCCACCTGCCGGAGGAAGAGGAAGTGTCAGAGCCCCCTGCTGGCTGTATGGCAGGTGTGTGTAGGTGTCCCATCTGCCGGAGGAAGAGGAAGTGTCAGAGCCCCCTGCTGGCTGTATGGCAGGTGTGTGTAGGTGTCCCACCTGCCGGAGGAAGAGGAAGTGTCAGAGCCCCCTGCTGGCTGTATGGCAGGTGTGTGTAGGTGTCCCACCTGCCGGAGGAAGAGGAAGTGTCAGAGCCCCCTGCCGGAGGAAGAGGAAGTGTCAGAGCCCCCTGCTGGCTGTATGGCAGGTGTGTGTAGGTGTCCCACCTGCCGGAGGAAGAGGAAGTGTCAGAGCCCCCTGCCGGAGGAAGAGGAAGTGTCAGAGCCCCCTGCTGCTGTATGGCAGGTGTGTGTAGGTGTCCCACCTGCCGGAGGAAGAGGAAGTGTCAGAGCCCCCTGCCGGAGGAAGAGGAAGTGTCAGAGCCCCCTGCTGGATGTATGGCAGGTGTGTGTAGGTGTCCCACCTGCCGGAGGAAGAGGAAGTGTCAGAGCCCCCTGCTGGCTGTATGGCAGGTGTGTGTAGGTGTCCCACCTGCCGGAGGAAGAGGAAGTGTCAGAGCCCCCTGCTGGCTGTATGGCAGGTGTATGTAGGTGTCCCACCTGCCGGAGGAAGAGGAAGTGTCAAAGCCCCCTGCTGGCTGTATGGCAGGTGTGTGTAGGTGGCCCACCTGCCGGAGGAAGAGGAAGTGTCAGAGCCCCCTGCTGGCTGTATGGCAGGTGTGTGTAGGTAGCCCACCTGCCGGAGGAAGAGGAAGTGTCAGAGCCCCCTGCTGGCTGTATGGCAGGTGTGTGTAGGTAGCCCACCTGTTGGCTGGATAGCAGTACAATACTATTTCGTTTTATTAGACATTATGTCAACATGTTTGGGGTGTTGAGGTGATTGCAGGATTTGGCTGTCATATTCTTGCCAAAACGGCGTCAAAATATTATATTATATATTATATGTTATATTCTTGCCAAAACGAGTTCTATATAATGGTAATTTTAGGGGATATTAGCATATATCCAGCATATAACGGTGAAATTTCAGGTAAGTTAGGTTTATATTATCCTAAACCTAACCTTACAGGTATAGTTTTAAGTTATTTCTTAAAGTTTATCCTCTTTATATATTTTTACCCAAATCCACCTTCCCACTTAAGACCTGTGTTGTTAATAATTAATAAATTAATAAAGAGAAAACATTGGCATAGTGTTTAGAATATAAAAGTCGGTGACTGACTGACGAACTAAATACTTTGTAGTAAATAATTTGTATATCGGTAAATAATTTGCAGCTAAAAGTGTTATGAAACTGTAATGCTGTTGATAATATCTGACAAAGACCTAGTTATTGAATGACAGAAACAATTATACATTTGATTTTAAAACAACATGTAAGTGATTGCGATGAGCAAAGTGAACATGAATTGAACTTGCAGAGAACATGAATAATGAGTATAAAAGTTGTACATAGAATATGCTGTGAACATGGAGAGAATACACAAATACGGTAAAAATATTGGTTAATAGCTGTATTTTTAAATTCTGGGGAGAGAGGGAGGGAGGGAGGGAGGGAGGGAGGGAGGGATGGAGGATTGGTGGAGTTGGGGAAGTGGGAAGAAAAAAGGGTAGAGGGGGGGGGAGAGCTTGGGGTAAAATGGAAATAAGACAATGGACGAGCAAATGAGCAAATAAGAGTGGACGAGCATGGGGGCACGGAGGAAGGAAGGGCGGGAGGAAGCGGAAGATGAGGTGTGATGTGGCAAAGTGATTATTACACGGTAAGTGATTATTTACATAGCTGAGTAAACAAGCTTATTGAAAGAGAGGATATGTTTACTTTGATCACAATCGACCTGAGAATGGTCCAGGACGGACCGAAACGTCGTCGTCCCTTCATTTTCTAGTGTGTGGATTGGTCAACATACTTCAGCCACATTATTGTGACTCATCGTCTGCATATGTTTACTTTGATAAAGTGACAGACTGGAGAGGGTCTTGATCTGAAACATTAAGTTTGATAAACGTTTAACTAATGTGGAGAACAGGAGCTGGAGATTGATAATTGCTTTTGATTTATTTTACAGGGTCTAAAACGTAGTGTTTTTTTAAATCTCAAGGGATTTGGACTGATACTAATTAGCTTACAGGAGTGAACTAAGGCAGCAGACAAGATCTGGAGCATGGTAACTGCCTTGACTTTATTTCCTGAGTCTGAAATACATCGGGTATTTATTTAAGGGAAAATGATCGATTAATAGCGGAGTTGAAGGAGTAAACTGAGGTGGGGACAAGAGCTAAAACTCAGTAACTTTATTTAATTTTATTAATATGTCCAACATAACTAAGTTTTAAAATCTCAGGGAATTTGGGTAGATACTAATGGAGTTCTAGGAGAAAAGTAAGACGGGGGACAGAAGCTGGAGTTCGTTAACTAACTTGCGGTATTTAACTATGTCTGAAATACAGCGGGTTGAAATTTTAGGGGAATTGTACAGATGATAAAGAAGCTGTACGAATGGTCTAAGGCAGAGGACAAGAGCTGAAACTCAGTAACGTCCTTGATCTTATTTACTGTTCTCATTATTACTACTATCCCCTACACCTTACTTTCCTCCTCAGCTCTCTCTTGCCTATTTATTGCCTGTCCCTACCTGTCCTCATCACAATCGACTTGAGAATGGTCCAGGACGGACCGAAACGTCGTCGTCCCTTCAACTTCTAGTGTGTGGTCTGGTCAACATCTTATTTACTGTTCCCAAAATAACTATCTTTTAAATTTCTAGGAAATTGATAAGATAATAGCGGTGTTTTGAAAGGAAACTAAGGTGGGGGACAGGAGCTGGAGCTTGGGAATGGCTTTGATCTATTTTCCTTGAATCTGTAATACAGCAGTTTAAAAATTTCAGGGAACCTGATAGGTTAATAACGGAGTTGCAGAAAAAGTAAGGTGGAGGATAAGAGCTGGAGCTTGGCAATTGCTTTGATCTATTTTACGCACAGAAATAATCTATTTTACGCACAGAAATAATCTATTTTACGCACAGAAATAAAGGAGGTTTAAATTTCAGGGAGATTGATTGGTTGACAATGGAGTTGTAACAATAAACTAAGGCGGATAATGAGAACTAGAACTCAGCAACATAATTTTCTTTTCTAACTTTGTTTGAAGTAAGACAGTGTTAAATTTCAGGGAAATTGATTGGTTAATAGTGAAACTTCACTTATAAATGTATAGAGTCGGGTCGAAGAACTGCTGATGAACTTTTTAAAATAGCTGCTCAAGTCTGTAGAGTTTAATTATATCCATACAAACTCTTTAAGAAGGCAGGGATGATTTAAACTTTAAATTTTTTTCAATCTTAAACTGGTCTCTGACTAATTTCGGTTTTAAACTGGTCTCTGACTAATTTCCGTCTTAAACTGATCTCTGACAAACTTCCGTCTTAAACTGATCTCTGACTAATTTCCGTCTTAAACTGATCTCTGACAAACTTCCGTCTTAAACTGGTCTCTGACTAATTTCCGTCTTAAACTGATCTCTGACAAACTTCCGTCTTAAACTGGTCTCTGACTAATTTCCGTCTTAAACTGATCTCTGACAAACCTCCGTCTTAAACTGGTCTCTGACTAATTTCGGTTTTAAACTGGTCTCTGACAAATTTCAGTCTTAATTTATTCACTGAAGAAATTTCGGTCTTAAACTGATCCCTGTCAAATTTCAGTCTTAAAACGGTCTCTGAAGCATTTCGGTCTTAAACTTGTTTCTGATAAATTTTGGTTTTAAAATGGTCTCTGTCAAATTTCACTCTCAAACTATATTCTGAAGAAATTTCGGTCCTAAACTGATCTCTGAAAAGTTACTGCTAAGATGTCTATTTCCCTTAACAAAAATTCTATGAACATATTCTCCGAAAATGGTATCTGAAAAAATTTCGGTCTTATACTCTGAAAATATTTAGGTCTTATGCAGGTGTGACAGAGTGAGGAATGTAAACTGAAAAAATTCGGGCTCAAACGGGTCGGGCACAGCGGTAACTCTCCAAAAGTTCGTTGAATCTGATGAGGTATAGTACTAAGTGTTAAAAAAAAAAATAGTGTTATGCCTTCATCTTTACTACTAGGAACATTACCTGTGACCAGACGCTGGGACTCCTGGGGTCAGGAACATTACCTGTGACCAGACGCTGGGACTCCTGGGGTCAGGAACATTACCTGTGACCAGACGCTGGGACTCCTGGGGTCAGGAACATTACCTGTGACCAGACGCTGGGACTCCTGGGGTCAGGAACATTACCTGTGACCAGACGCTGGGACTCCTGGGGTCAGGAACATTACCTGTGACCAGACCCTGGGACTCCTGGGGTCAGGAACATTACCTGTGACCAGACCCTGGGACTCCTGGGGTCAGGAACATTACCTGTGACCAGACCCTGGGACTCCTGGGGTCAGGAACATTACCTGTGACCAGACCCTGGGACTCCTGGGGTCAGGAACATTACCTGTGACCAGACCCTGGGACTCCTGGGGTCAGGAACATTACCTGTGACCAGACCCTGGGACTCCTGGGGTCAGGAACATTACCTGTGACCAGACCCTGGGACTCCTGGGGTCAGGAACATTACCTGTGACCAGACCCTGGGACTCCTGGGGTCAGGAACATTACCTGTGACCAGACGCTGGGACTCCTGGGGTCAGGAACATTACCTGTGACCAGACGCTGGGACTCCTGGGGTCAGGAACATTACCTGTGACCAGACCCTGGGACTCCTGGGGTCAGGAACATTACCTGTGACCAGACGCTGGGACTCCTGGGGTCAGGAACATTACCTGTGACCAGACGCTGGGACTCCTGGGGTCAGGAACATTACCTGTGACCAGACCCTGGGACTCCTGGGGTCAGGAACATTACCTGTGACCAGACGCTGGGACTCCTGGGGTCAGGAACATTACCTGTGACCAGACCCTGGGACTCCTGGGGTCAGGAACATTACCTGTGACCAGACCCTGGGACTCCTGGGGTCAGGAACATTACCTGTGACCAGACCCTGGGACTCCTGGGGTCAGGAACATTACCTGTGACCAGACGCTGGGACTCCTGGGGTCAGGAACATGGTGTTCATCATGGAGAAGGTCCAGTACTGGCGCAGGAGACGCATGACCTCGTGGAGAGGCGCCCTCGTCACCACCAACAGTCTGGTCGACCACACCAGCAGGCGGCCTCTGTCAGACGACTGGGCGAAGGCGACCAGGAAGGCCGGGTCGTCGCTCGCCACCACGACCACCACGCACCTCGCCAACACCCGCAGCTGTGGGAGTTATGGTACCATCACCCCGGGACACTTAACCAACACCCGCAGCTGTGGGAGTTATGGTACCATCACCCCGGGACACTTAACCAACACCCACAGCTGTGGGAGTTATGGTACCATCACCCCGGGACACTTAACTACCACCCACAGCTGTGGGAGTTATGGTAACATCACCCCGGGACACTTAACTACCACCCACAGCTGTGGGAGTTATGGTAACATCACCTACCAGGGCTCCCTTAAACTCTCCCCTGACGGGTCCCTAACTTTACCCTGGGTTTTCACCTCGCCAGGACGCCGCTGATATAAAAACAGACAAAAATAAATAATAATATCTTACTTTAACCACCACCACTACTAACACCAGTGGAGCACCACCACCACCACTACTAACACCAGTGGAGCACCACCACCAACCACCACTACTAACACCAGTGGAGCACCACCACCACCACTACTAACACCAGTGGAGCACCACCACCACCACTACTAACACCAGTGGAGCACCACCACCAACCACCACTACTAACACCAGTGGAGCACCACCACCACCACTACTAACACCAGTGGAGCACCACCACCACCACTACTAACACCAGTGGAGCACCACCACCAACCACCCACTACTAACACCAGTGGAGCACCACCACCACCACTACTAACACCAGTGGAGCACCACCACCACTACTAACACCACCACCACTACTAACACCAGTGGAGCACCACCACCACCACTACTAACACCAGTGGAGCACCACCAACCACCACTACTAACACCAGTGGAGCACCACCACCACCACTACTAACACCAGTGGAGCACCACCAACCACCACTACTAACACCAGTGGAGCACCACCACCACCACTACTAACACCAGTGGAGCACCACCACCACCACTACTAACACCAGTGGAGCACCACCACCACCACTACTAACACCAGTGGAGCACCACCACCACTACTAACACCAGTACTAACACCAGTGGAGCACCACCACCACTACTAACACCAGTGGAGCACCACCACCACCACTACTAACACCAGTGGAGCACCACCACCACTACTAACACCAGTGGAGCACCACCACCACCACTACTAACACCAGTGGAGCACCACCACCACTACTAACACCAGTGGAGCACCACCACCACTACTAACACCAGTGGAGCACCACCACCACCACTACTAACACCAGTGGAGCACCACCACCACTAACACCAGTGGAGAACCACCACCACCACTACTAACACCAGTGGAGCACCACCACCACTACTACCAACACTAGCAGAGCACCACCACCACTACTAACACCAGTGGAGAACCACCACCACCACTACTAACACCAGTGGAGAACCACCACCACCACTACTAACACCAGTGGAGAACCACCACCACCACTACTAACACCAGTGGAGCACCACCACCACCACTACTAACACCAGTGGAGCACCACCACCACCACTACTAACACCAGTGGAGCACCACCACCACCACTACTAACACCAGTGGAGCACCACCACCACCACTACTAACACCAGTGGAGCACCACCACCACCACTACTAACACCAGTGGAGCACCACCACCACTACTAACACCAGTGGAGCACCACCACCACCACTACTAACACCAGTGGAGCACCACCACCACCACTACTAACACCAGTGGAGCACCACCACCACCACTACTAACACCAGTGGAGCACCACCACCACCACTACTAACACCAGTGGAGCACCACCACCACCATTACTAACACCAGTGGAGCACCACCACCACCACTACTAACACCAGTGGAGCACCACCACCACTACTAACACCAGTGGAGCACCACCACCACCACTACTAACACCAGTGGAGCACCACCACCATTACTAACACCAGTGGAGCACCACCACCACTACTAACACCAGTGGAACACCACCACCACCACTACTAACACCAGTGGAGCACCACCACCACCATTACTAACACCAGTGGAGCACCACCACCACCACTACTAACACCAGTGGAGCACCACCACCACTACTAACACCAGTGGAGCACCACCACCACCACTACTAACACCAGTGGAGCACCACCACCACCATTACTAACACCAGTGGAGCACCACGACCACCACTACTAACACCAGTGGAGCACCACCACCACCACTACTAACACCAGTGGAGCACCACCACCACCATTACTAACACCAGTGGAGCACCACGACCACCACTACTAACACCAGTGGAGCACCACCACCACCATTACTAACACCAGTGGAGCACCACCACCACCACTACTAACACCAGTGGAGCACCACCACCACCACTACTAACACCAGTGGAGCACCACCACCACCACTACTAACACCAGTGGAGCACCACCACCACCACTACTAACACCAGTGGAGCACCACCACCACCATTACTAACACCAGTGGAGCACCACCACCACCACTACTAACACCAGTGGAGCACCACCACCACCACTACTAACACCAGTGGAGCACCACCACCAACCACCACTACTAACACCAGTGGAGCACCACCACCACCACTACTAACACCAGTGGAGCACCACCACCACTACTAACACCAGTGGAGCACCACCACCACTACTAACACCAGTGGAGCACCACCACCACCACTACTAACACCAGTGGAGCACCACCACCACTACTAACACCAGTGGAGCACCACCACCACCACTACTAACACCAGTGGAGCACCACCACCACCACTACTAACACCAGTGGAGCACCACCACCACTACTAACACCAGTGGAGCACCACCACCACCACTACTAACACCAGTGGAGCACCACCACCACCACTACTAACACCAGTGGAGCACCACCACCACCACTACTAACACCAGTGGAGCACCACCACCACTACTAACACCAGTGGAGCACCACCACCACCACTACTAACACCAGTGGAGCACCACCACCACCACTACTAACACCAGTGGAGCACCACCACCACCACTACTAACACCAGTGGAGCACCACCACCACCACTACTAACACCAGTGGAGCACCACCACCACTACTAACACCAGTGGAGCACACAATGGAGAGTCACCCGGTAATGGACTTAACTATGGCTAAACGTCATACTATTGGGTACTCGGCTCAGAACTGGCCCTAAGTCATGCGTACATATCTCATTATTTCCACAAACTTTCTAATCTACATATTCACAAACGCCCTACAAGATCGCTGGATACACGACCTTGCTGCAACATGCAATACATGACAGTATATCAGGGTCTTACTGCAAAAGGTAGATGCGACAATGCTTGTCCACGACGCCCAAATATGGCGCTCTGCCAGGTTATCTTGAGATGATTTCGGGGCTTTAGTGTCCCCGCGGCCCGGTCCTCGACCAGACCTCCACCCCCAGGAAGCAGCCCGTGACAGCTGACTAACTCCCAGGTACCTATTTACTGCTAGGTAACAGGGGCATTCAGGGTGAAAGAAACTTTGCCCATTTGCTTCTACCTCGTGCGGGAATCGAACCTGCGCCACAGAATTACGAATCCTGCGCGCTATCCACCAGGCTACGAGGCCCAGGTTGCTCACAATTTTTTCTTGGACTGCCACTAATCGGCTTCTTCCAGTCCTGACTTGAGTGTGAGGGGTCACGGAACAGTTGCCAATCAGGAACTCCTGCCCAAACGATGCTCTTGAAGGATTCGCCACCGTGTTTCCTCAGGGCACGACCACCTAACTGCCTTCATGTGGTCCTTACTCGTTGCCACTATTCAAGTGATACGTCACAAATCTTCCTCCACCCGTTGCCTCACACTTAACCAACACCCACGGCTGGGGGAGTTGGTAAAGTGTCCCAGGGTGATGGTACCATAACTCCTACAGCTGAGTGTTGGATATTTGCCCCGGGGGTTGATGGTACCACAACTCCCCCAGCTGCAGGTGAGTAGTAGGAAACTAGACAACTCGCAGCCGTTTTGCTTTTTCCAACGGCTGCGAGTAGCATCCAGTGGGGGGGGGGGGGAGGGGGCAGAGGGGTATTAATGTTTTTCCAACGGCAGTGAGTTGGCGCAGGGGTGTTTTCAATTTTTCCGACGGCTGCCTCTAGACCAGGAGTACGTTTTTCAATTTTTATTCGTTAGTACCTTGTGGTCTACTAATATTTTCATTCATTTATCACCCGCTTCCTTCCATCATATGTAATTTTTCAAAATCGGGGGATTAAGCAGGTCCATTCTAGCCCCTACTATTTCGCTCAAGGGGATTAAAGTTCAGGCTTCAGTCGCACTTCAATTTTGTCACCTCGGTGACCCTGCACGGGCATCGCCAATGGTCAATGACGTCATCCTGACTTTATCTTCCCTGTATAAGAACATTTTCTGATATCATTTATTTATTCGCATTTTCAATAATTATGTCAAGAGGGATTAAAAGGCCGTCTTCCGTCGCACTTAATTTTCGTTACCACAGCGAGTGATTGCTAGCCATTTAGTCCCCTTAAATTTCGTTCAAGTGGATTAAAAGGCCAGCTCCTGTCAGGGATGTTTTGTGTTACCCCGGCGAGTGATTGTTCGTCTTCTAATTCCTTTCAATTTGGCTAAAGGGGATTAAAAGGCCTCCTTCCGTCTGGGGTGTTTTGCGTTGCCCCAGCGACCACCACAGGTGCATTCATCTTCCCACATTAAGCCCGTTTTCCTTAATGACGTGTTTCTATGATCATTTTCAAGCTAAGATTGCATATTGCACATAAGAAATGTTTTCAGCTCTGTTATCGAACCAGTATTTACCCAGGTCTTTTCCTAAATCTAAACTTATTCAATTTATACCAATTGTTTCGTGTTCGTGTTCTCTCTCATGTTGATACAATAGCCTATTAATATCCCCGTTGTTATGTCATTTCATCCACTTGCACACCTCTATGACGTCACCCCATAATTCTTCGCCTCTCTAGAGAATGTAATTTAAGCTTTGTCAATCTTTCTTCAAGAATCGTTTATCGAACATTGGAAATAAATTGAAAA